CCTCCTGTATGCACCCAGACCTGGGATTGAACCCACAACCTAGGTACATGCCCTGACTGGGAATCGAACCTGCAATCTTTTGGTGTATAGGACGATGCTCCAGCCAGCTGAGCTACCCGGCCAGGGCTCTAAACTGGTTTTTTTAATGGGTATTCAATTTTATTAAACACATTTCTGGCAAGTATTGAAATGCTCGTGTAGCTTTTTTTCCTTTGCCTAATATGATAAAATACATTTATATATTTCTCAGTTTTAGACCATCTTGCATTTCTGGGCTGAACCCTATTTAATCAAAGTGGTTTAGTTTTAAATAAATTGCTTGATTTTATTTGCTCACATTTTATTTAAATTTATATGTTTGTAGCCTAAAAATAGGTCTGTAGTTTTCTTTTGTGCTATTTTTGTTATTTTTAATGTATTGAGTTACCTGTATACTAACCATTAGAAAACTCTTTTCGTTTTTTTGTGCTCTGAAACAGTTGCATGGGAATTACCTGCTTTTTGAAAGTAGGTGCTGTGTGGACTATAGACAGTTCTTGGCCAATATTTAAAATGTCATAATCTCAGGGGTAGTGAGTTTTAACATAGTGATTTTAGTGTAAATAGGAGCAGAGCAGAATGTAATTACCTAGTGAAAGCTGACTTTAGTTTGATAGTGGTGTTCTTGGTGTCTTTTTATTACTGATGGTGGTATTACACTCACCATCTGAGAGTTTATAAGACCTTTGTTTTAATATTGAACCCATATAACTGTTTAGTTCTGCAATCTCGAAGATTTGCAGTGTGCCTACCAGGGTTCTGCTTTATTTTCACTGAAAGCAAAAAGTTAGCAGTAAAATTTTGCTGTGTTAGAAGCTTTTAAAGAATGAGATATTCCGTTTAATTTTATTAACTTAGAAGTATAAAGGTGAAAACAGTCCTAAACTGTAACCCCTGTTGAGTGCAGTTCAAAGATGGAGCAAATAATTCCATTTTACTTCTCTGGTAAGTTTGATATATTCAGACTAGTTGATGCTTTGTTACAGAATTCCTAAAGTGTCAGGCTCACTTTATAAAGATCCTTGTTTGGACTTTAGATGTATGAAAATGTATTGTATGTAATCAGGCTGGATGGGAACCGATGCCTAAGTATATGTTTCAGATGAAATCTCTCATTGCACCTTGTTTTCTTATTTAAACCATAAAAATAAAACACATTTGATTGAGGGTGGGAGTTGTGAGGAGATTATGTTTTTTAATTGGATGTCTTTATTTCATATTAAGATAGAATATACAATCCCCTGGCTTTAGACCTACAAAAGGAAACACATTTTTCTACTTGCTGTATATCAGTGGTTCTCAAACTTGAGATTGCTTCAGAATCACCTGGAGGGCTTATTAAAACACAGATTGCTGGGTCCCACCCAGAATTTCTGATTCAACAGGTCTAGGATGGAGCCTGAGAATTTGCATTTCTAATAAGTTCCCATCTAAGGTGATACTGATGCTGCTGGGCCAGGGAACTATATTTTGAGAACCACTGCTTTATACTCACTGGAAATACTAGAAATCTGGTTCTAGAAGAAAGCTGAATTTGGTCTGGGAGTATTGCATAGGTTATGGAGCAAATCAAGAAAGATTCAACCTTTTGCTGCCAGCGTAGTGTTGTGTTCAGGTAATTAGTAATACACAGTGACACAACACAATTCTCTCTTCATAATTGTAAGTCCTAGCCAAATATCAAGTGAGAAATTATTTCATTTGCAAGGCTTAGAGACTACGGGACTCTGGTCAGGTAGGATTTAGTGATTAATCCTATTGCTTTGGTCCAGTAATTTTTTTTTAAATGTCAAAGAACTTTGAGTGCTTATTAAATGGAAAGTTTTGTGTGTTTTTTTAAAGATTTTCTTGAGATTTAAAAAAAATAGTAACTTAAGAGAAAAAGAAACTTTTTCAAAAAAGAATCACTGGAACTATTTTATCTTCTTGGAATGTTGGAGAATATAATGTGCATAAAACATCAGAAGTGCTATGGATTTTTAATTGTTTTAGTGATTTGTCATTGCATTGTTTGAGATAATAGTAGTAATTCTTGTAATCGCTCTGAAGATGAAAGATGAAGTCCAGAATTATAGACCTGGCATAGAAGCTGGGCACAGGAGACAACTATGAAGGAATAAATAGGTGGATATGTACACACATATATACATATATAATATACATAACTCATATGTTTTTAAATTTATTTATTTATTTATTTAATAAAGACAGAGATACCCGTTCTGAACTTAGGCATCATCTAGAAGCTTCAAGTTGAAGAGAAAGCAAACTCTGGAAGCCACACCTTTTCACAGAGATTTGCTTCAACAAGTTTTACTCGCTCATCTGCTACCTAATTTCTGTTGTTCTGCTAACAGCCTCAGTTTTCAAGTTGATCAGCTGGTCCAGCATTGACTGTTGAAGGATAACTGGTATTGCAAACAGTGGGTTGGGCAGACTCCCTACATGGTTGCATTCCTGTTTTGTTCCCCCCTTTCCCCTCAGAGAAGACTTGAATGAGGAAAAGAAGAGTAGAATTAGATCTGCAGACTAGACCAGTGCTTCTAAAGCCTGGCTGCACATCACAAACAATTTCCAAGAGTGGTTAGATCAGAGAAACTCAATCTTCAGGATTTCACAGGCCAGTAAATTTTCAAAAATATTTTGAGGACAAATCAACACTGTAAGAAAAACACTTTCCTAGTATCAGCAGTCCCATATCATAGGAAAGTTTTCAACTTTTCTAAAGTGTGTTAATTTGGGGAACATCCCCAGGTTGAGATTATGGTAATTTTCCATTCCCTTTCTCATGAACAAGTGCATCCTGCAGTTTGCTCTCTGTGTTCTGCCTTGTTCTTGAATTAGAAGGGTTATTCTGTTCTTTCTTCCTCTGCCTTCCTGTTTTCCTTATGGTCATGTGCACTCAGGATTTATTTTTTGGACAAAGGCAGATGTTTTAGAAAACTAAGCTCTGAGTCTCTGAGAATGATTTCCATATTGATAAGGACAAGTTGTGCTGGTTGTAAACAATTGCCAAATGAATCTTTGGAACTATAATACTGTACAACCTGCTACTCAGCAAGGATCAGGACCTTTAAGAGTCGCTGTGCTAAGGAATAGCCCACTTACTTACACAGTTGCCCTGGCATTTAGAACAGACTTGCTTTTGACGTTATGCTGCAAATGGAAGTGGTAAGAATAAGGAACTGGTTTTCTCTCTGCTGTAGCCGTAGTGAATTATTATGGAGCCGGATTTGGAATATAAAAGCAACGTTTATAATACAGAAACATTAGAAACACCCCAAAAGACAGTATGGCTGTATTAACATAGAAATGAGAAAAAGCAAATGATGGAACACCATGCTGTTACTATTAAGAATGGAGACTTGGGGAATGTGTGTGTGCCTGTGTTTCTAAATACAGGCAGGGGGAGTCAGGAAAGTTATATGCACCACATTATTAATCATTCTTTACTCTGGCTGGTTGGACAACTGATGACCTTAATTTTCTCCTCTTTGCTTATCAATACAATGAACATGTATTATTTTTTGAAATACGTTCTGAAGAAAAACAAGCTTGAGAATCAGAATTAGAGATAGTCGCTTACAATGTTCATTAAGAATGCATTTTCTTTGCTTATTTAAGTATCAAGAAAGCCATGTGATCTTGATTAGGTTCTAGAACCTACAGAATTTGCCTTGGAAGGATTCACCCCCCTCCCACTTACCTAGAAATGCTAACTAACCCTAGACAGGTTTTTCTTTTTTTCTCCTTTCTTTTCTTTCTTTCTTTTTTTTTTTTTTTACAAGAGAACAAATCCATTTATATTTCAATAAATTTAAATCCTTGAGGGGTATAGCATTACACAGATTCTGTGTCCAATAGTCAAAGCAGGAAGGTTGCTTTGGAATTAATTTAGTGCGAACCATGCCACTGTTTCCATGAGTTACCTTTCCCCAGATTACTCTGGTTTTGCTCCATTTGCTACCAGGGGTCACTGTGCTGTTCTTGCTTTGTACACATAAGCACATATCTTGCCTAGATAGTTCAGTTTCACCTGAAGCATAAATACCTTCAATCTTAAGAGCTGTATGCTCCCTCTGGTTCCGGAGACCCCACTTACAGCCAGCAAAAATGGTCTTGGACCATAGCCTTCCAGACATAGATTTCTATTATAGAAGTCCTGTTCCCAGAAGCCTCCACAGGCTCCAAGATGGCAAAAAGAGGATTTCTTTTTTCTTTTAACTCTTAAAGAATTGTACATCTGTATAGTTGATAACTACAGGATATTGTTAGTTTTGTAACAGGTACAGATTAGCAGTTCGTGTTCATGTATAGTTAATAACTTTGACTTAGAACTTCAGAAGCTTCTGGAAGAATCTGGATATTATAGGTTTCATTTCCTTAATCCTTGTAACATTTTGTCCTTTCTTTTGCTTCTGTTTAGGTTCTACCATAATGAATGGATCCAGTGTGGCAAATACATCACCCAGTGTAAAAGCCAAAGAGGACCAGGGGTTAAATGGGCACGATGAGAAGGAAAACCCATTTGCAGAGTACATGTGGATGGAGAATGAAGAGGATTTCAACAGACAGGTGAAGAAGGAAGTGGAAGGACAATGATGTCTGTAACTCAGCAGCTATAATATTTTATAATACTTCTGTTACAAAAGAAATGGTTTCCTTGGCTTTAGAATAACTTAAAAATACATGGAGGCCTGGTCTGAGCTGACCAGGAAGCACCTTCAACTGGTAAGAGACCAGACAATACTTTAGAGGAAGAGCGTGATATTTTTCTACCATATTGTTTTAAAAGAGGGTCTAATGGCATGGTGAACTGGTATAGACTGCTGAGAAACAGTAGTTTTGTGCAGACAGGCCAGCTTGGCATGCCCCAAACAGCAGCTCAGGGACTGGCAGAATGTGAGCCTGAGACAGTGCGTAGTAAGGTGGGGGAAGACTAGACAGCTTCAACAAAGATTGAGGAGTGATTCATTGTTTTCTTTCTCTGTAACGTTAATAGCCCAAGGTAAGCCATTCCAGGTAGACAGGTGTGACCACATAGTTCCTTCCATGGTGTTGCTTTGCCACCTCCAGGGCATTTTTATCAGCTGAGTAGCTGAAGGATAACTAGAAGTCTATCTAGCATGGGAGACTGGAAATTCAGTATTAACTGAACAGCCTGTTGCTTTGGGAAGAAGAAAAGCTGTGGGGATGCAGCCAGCAATTTCCACTCCCAGTGACTCACTGTGTCGTGATTTGTGTGAATAGCATATATACCATGCTTCTGTCACACCCCTATGCCCAGGTCACCATTTTTTAGGGTTGTGCCTATGAATAAAGTTAATTTTTAAAAAAAATATATGTCTTTATTGATTTCAGAGAGAGGAAGGGAGAGAGATAGAAACATCAATGATGAGAGAGTCATTGATTGGCTGCCTACTGCATGCCCCATACTGGGGATCAAGCTCGCCACCCAGGCATGTGCCCTGACCGGGAATCGAACCTCGACCTCCTGGATCAAAGGTGGATGCTCAACCACTGAGCCACACCGGTCAGGCAAGGGTAAATTTAATAAGGGGAGCACACTTTTATGCTTTTGGAGCAGATCTTGAGCACTCACATTAAATCTCGTGGCTTGGAAATACTTTGTGATTATTAGTTTAAGTACTTCATAACTTTCTAATTTATTTGAAAATTTTTTTTTTAAATGTTCCTAATTATAATGTTGAAATACTATTTTTGAGTCTTGCTACCCCACTGACTTTTCCTTGAATTTGTGAGGTTAGCTGTATTGGCTAGTTTGGGTGATTATTTTTGCTTGACCACCCTGGTGGTGGCCTGAGTGAGCTGTGAATATGTCACCAGGCCAGCTTTGAGAAAAGGAATGGCCAAATGTGAAGCAGGAGGCCTGTTAAAAATCACAATGTGCAGAATGAACTCTTTCGTAAAAGCTAACAGTGCCTGCAAACAGGTATAAGATATCCTAGATACATACTGCTTTAGTTTAGGGCAATCTTTAAGAAATATGGAGTTGTTTAAATATTCATATTCTTTCTTTCTTTTTTAATCCTCACCCCCGAGGACATGCTTTCATTGATTTGAGAGAGAGAGTGAGGGGGAGAGAGAGAGAAACATCAATGTGAGAGAAACATTGATTGACTGCTTCCCAACGTGGGATTGAACCCACAACCTGGGTATGTGCTCTGACCAGGAATCAAACCCCGCAACCTTTTGGTGTATAGGACGACACTCTAACCCACTGAGCCACACTGGCCAGGGCTAATATTTTTCCTTGTTTTGAAAGAATACTACATTGATGACATCATTTTCTATTGGTATGCCAAAAGGTGTTCTTTATATTTTTCTAAGGTTCTGAAAGTATTTTTCACCCTTAGAGGCCTCATTTACCTGCAAAGTGGGCCAGAAGCTGAGAGTTGGTTTTGATTTAATGTCTGCTATCCAGGTAGTGGTCTAGTTACATAGTACCTGTACCTTTTTCATAGTTGTAAAATGAGAAATTTAGGAAGAGTTGCTTCTTAACAAGATTGAGAAAATAATTTTATGCTTTAAAAATGATTTTCAGTAAGTACCACATGAATGGAAAATATCTGTGTCACATATTAGAGGTCTTAGAAGACTTGTGAAGAATTTCTATTATTTTGAATAACTATTTTCTCAGTCCTGTTGATGGAATTTGGTTGAAAAATTAAAAATTATGTTTTCTCCAGCCAGTCATTAGAAGTATCTTAATTCTTAGTCGATCTCATGCAAGATCATTCTTAATCTTGGAGTAATAACCTCTGAAAGAAAGAGGTGGAAAAAAAACAGGAAGGGATGAGTGCCACGGGGCCGGTAAGTCTGAGCTCCTCATCTTTGCTTGCCAGGTTGAGGAGGAGCTGCAGGAGCAGGACTTTTTGGACCGGTGCTTTCAAGAGATGCTGGATGAAGAAGACCAAGACTGGTTTATTCCATCACGAGACCTGCCTCAGGCCATGGGACAGTTGCAACAACAGTTAAATGGGCTGTCTGTCAGCGATGGCCATGATTCTGAAGATATTTTGGTAAGAGCCATAAGTAGTTCCACATGTGACATAGTGAGAAGAATATGGATTTGGAGTCACAGACTTATTTTCTGGCCCTACTACCTTGGGCAAGTCTCTGGAGCCCTGTAAGCCACTATTTCGTCATTCATCACGTGGGCATTAATAAGCAGGTACATTGAAGATGCATTCACCTCATAAAGCACTGTGAAAACATTAATGTTGCAGCATCACCAACTTTCATTTTCCCCAATGGGCTTTTCAAAGTAGAACTGGGATTAAGGATAAAAATTTGAACATGGGAAGGGTTGGTTTTAAATTATCATTTGCTGCTGTCCTTTTCTTTTACTATCCCTCAAATCTATATTTATAATTTTGAATGATGCTGTTACAAAAATTGTTCATTATGGAGGAAACATTCTCGTAAGAGGCCATTTTCCACTTAAAATTAGAAGACCAGATAATTGAATTCCCTGCCTTCCATGTGTACTTAGGAAATTCTGAGTGATTTAGTTCTCACACAGCTCATGTTCTGAATGATTATGCCCCATAGTTTGCTAAGGTTTTGACTCTCTTGCAGAGAGAGTCCAGCAGGATGAAGAAAGATATGTGTGTATAGGGATTGTGGCAACCAAACTGGTTTGATGGAGTTCTTGGATGCTCATCAAGTTAGGGTTCTCAATGAGTTGAATTATTTTTGGAGTCACAAGCCCCTAATGGAAGCATCATGAAGGGAGCAAGAGTCTGAGCAAGAAGGAGAAAGTGAGGTTGGTCAGGGCTTAGTATGTCAGGAGCCACTGAGACCAGCCCAGCAGTAATAGCCTGAGTTGCAAGGAATTCTGTTTTTCTCTCCTTGAGGTTGAGAGGAAGGTACTGGTAATATATGGAAGCAGGGAGGAAATAAGTTTTAAAGTGCAGCCTGCCATGGGATTTATTATCTCTTGGTTCTTATTTCAGAGCAAAAGTAACCTGAACCCGGATGCCAAGGAATTTATTCCAGGAGTGAAGTATTGAGCTGGCAGAAAAACTTTGAGGAGGACTTCTATGTCCCCACATCTGGGGACATCACTGCACAAAAATGCAGAGCTGAAGGGGGTGGGGTGGGCTAGGGATGCACAGTGGGGAAGGGGAATAGTGGTTTAACTTGACACTGTGACTGGAGTAGCTAACGTGCTCAGTCTTACTCTACAAGCCTCTGAGTATTTCTCTTTTGTTCTACTGACTTTCATTTTGATCAGTTTCCTATTATTATTATTAGGTTTTGGCTTTTTGAGTTAAAGAAATTGCAATCTTCTTTTTTTCCCTTTCATCAGGAACCTTCTGCTATGTGTGTTTAAACAAAATAAGCTGACCAAGAAAATCTGGGTGTTTATGAATGCCCTTTCACACCCTGCTGTATACTTGCAAGGGCAGTGAACACCTACAAAACTACTATCGAGTCTGTTAAGCTGGATGGGAAGAGGGACGAGTGGAAGAAGTAGGTGTTTTAAACCAGACTACGCAATTTAGCTCTCCTGACCCCTGGGGGCTTTTTGCAATGAACTGGGATTATCCTTGGCCTGCTGAGCCCATGTCTTCCTGCCTTGAACCCCATTCAAGAAAACACAGACTTAAAGTACTGGTTTATGGTAACTCTTGATGATTGATGAAAGTTGTAAATTATAAGGGGAAAACTGTGATGATTATTGTCACTTGAATCATACGGTTACTGTTGGCCTACTCTTAAGCCTCTGTTTACAGCTACCATCAAACTCATCATTTACAAGGTACAAAAGCACTAAGGTAGATTTGCCTCTTTGTCTCTGATGGTGTCTAGTCCCCTATCCCTTTCCATCCCCACCCTACTCTGATTTTAAGAAAAGATACTGTTACCAAAGGTGTGTGAAAGGCATGCTGTGCTGGCCATCAGCTTCAGCCTGGAGAAGTCATCCTTGAATCCTGTTAGTGTGTCCCAAATTTATTTTTGACAAGTTTTTTTTCCAGCCTCATGAAGACTTTGTTCTTTTGGTATCTTACTTCCCTTGGAAAGGTTTATGCACCTTTACAAGTAAATATATTTTTTTAGAACACTAGCAAGAAGCTCAGTTCACAATTTTGATGCTTCTCCCACTTTATAGAATTATGCAAAAGAACTACAAAAAAAAAAAAGCCTAGTGGAGTGAGTCCAACTTGACCTAGGTGACTGTGCTCCCCACCAGGATAATTTCAGCAGCTATAAAGTTTTGCTCTTCCAACATGCCCAGCTTTGGGAGATTGTGAGTTTTCTAGGTTGGGCTCTTTGGGTACATTCCTTTTGTCTTCCCTGCCTGTAAGTCACAGTGGTTTTTTGTTGATACTCATAAGGAACTAAACTGGGCACCAGGTGCTGCCTCTGTGATAGAGATATAGGTGCAGTCAGGTCTAAAAGAGTGTCTCAATTCCTGACCATTCTCCCAGGATGAGGACTTGCAGAGGCCTGAGGACAGTGGCTTCTGTGTGACTGCTGCTGTGTTGTGTGATAGGTATATCAGGGCGAGATCTTGTAACTTGAAATAAAGTCTGTAAATTCAGTATGTGGATGTGGGAGAGCGGTTGGAAGGAAAGGACTAGGGTCTGGAGAGCTTAAGAACTACTTTTTCTTATGAGTTCCATGTTGACTTTTTGAACAGCCACAGCCTATGGTCAGATTTAAAATAGTAACCGACAGCTTTTTCTTATATGAGTCTATTGGACGGCATTATTTGAACTGGCCTTCCTTGTTAGTTCACATGTCATAGGAGAGTATCTTAGGGAGCTTGTATTGCCAGATGTGTACATTGATTCCCAAGCCTTTACCTTGAGAGAATGGAACTCTGACTTGTTTTTAGGGAGGTGTATAAGCAAAGAAAATTCTTTATTCCAGCTTCAGCTTTCAGCTGCAGTTGTTGCCTAAATAAGGAGAGGGCCTTGGAAGTACAGAAATAGAAGTATCTCTTTCTTCTGGGGCTGCTTTTCTTTCTTTGGTCTCCAGTAGCTTGCACAAGCTCAGACTTATAAAAGCTGTTGGAAATGTGTTGCACTTGCAGAAAGAGCCATTTTCTAGACCGTGGGTATCACCGTCACAAAGAGTACAATGGATTCCTGTGTGGCTCCAGTCTGGAAAGTGCTACAGGGATCCAGATCTAGCCATTTCTTCATCCTGAAGACTTGCTCTTCTGACACAGGGCAGGCTCCGATTCTAGGTGCAGTCTAAAGGGCTTGTCCTTCTGTCTGGTTTGGGGTTCCATCTTGGATGTCAATTTCAGTGTGGTTTCACAAGGCATATTTAGTCAGGACTAAGAAATGTTCCTGCCAAATGAGCAGTGAACCTGAGGGCTGGACTTTCCAGTCCTATTCGGACAGAGTGTGCTGATTCCAGGATGAGAAAGCAGCTAGCAGTGTGATCCCCTTTTTAAATGTTTAGGCTGATGCTTCCAATGGCTCCTCTTACAGCCCAAATTTTCTCAATCCATTTTGTTGTGAGGTGGGAGCACAGCTGTTACCCAGATCACAGGCTCAGCTATTTTAGAGTTTGCCAACTTCTTAGCAGAAAATGCTTTTGGGTCTCATTGGACCTTGACTGGGAAAGGCTGGGAGCCTCTGTCTGTCTCTTAGGAGAGGATCTGGGTGCAAGCCAAGCTGGACACCTTTATCCTTTAAAGGCGAGGCTGTTATTTTAAAGTGACCACTTTGATGTTGAATTTAAGTTACTATTTTGTTGAAACTTTTTTTATTGGCAACTGGAAGTTGGAGAATTTGTATAGAAAAAAACATGTATTTTTAACAGTTGCCAATGCCTGCTGGTCTCAGTGTTCGTTTATTAGTGATTGATTTCTGATTTTTGTGGTTATTGAACTCTAAAACTCCAAGACGAAAATTATTTTATCTCTTGCTTTTCAAGGAGAAAAACATGAAACAAAGGAAATGCCCTTTCAGTTTCTTCGGGCCTTAGAACTAAACAGAAAACTTGATGGTCGCAGCTTAGGCCTAAGCACCTGTAACTTCGGGTCTTCGGGCCAGTTTCTGACTGTAGCAGTTGACTTTGGTGGCCATATAAGGCCAAACTGAAAAAGATCATAAATAAAAGGCTGGACCTTTGTAGCACTTCAGTTTCCAAAATCAAAATAACTGGGATCTTTTAAATTAAGGTTCTGATGCTAACTCTATGGCTTAAAACTGTTTTTAGTGAAATACTAAGCAGTTTTCCAATTGTGTATTGCTACAATGTCAAAGTTTTGTCTTGATTTTGGAGAGGCTGAGAAGTAAGGTCAGTTGGATACTCTGGCAGTTATATATCAGAGAGGAAAATCTTTTGAAGTAGTCAAAGGAAACAGCTTAACTGAATCTTCTTACATTAGTGCTGCTGCGAACACCACATAGAAACATTAGGAGCCCAGGAATCTACCTACTGTGATTGGAAGGGGCAAGTGTTCTTCAATAAGGGTCCTAGCAGCACAGGTTATTAATGTTTCTTGGTTTAGGTGATGTTGAGGTATGGGAACAGGCAGAAGAGACCTACATTTAACTAAGATTTGGAGATACCCACCTATTGGGAAAGACTATATATCCCTCTCCTTGGGGATATTGCAAACCTTATTAGTTTAGGAGGTGGGTGGGGAAAACAGGAGGGTTGACCCAGATCTGGTGTGCATTGGGAACCCTCATCTCCTCCTACCTCTGCTTGCGGTTCCCAAGTGAATAATTGCTCCTTCATTGCCCACAGTATCCTTCATTCTTCTGGTCCCACTGCCCTTTGTAGTTCACAGAGTACTTTCTGCAGCCACTGCTCTGCTGTCATGTGAATTTCATCCACAGACTTGGTTAGTCACAACTTTGAAAGATTTTCCCCCATTGTTTTTAATCTTCTGTCTTTATTTCTCCCATTTTGCAGCTGTAATTGTTGGCAAGGGACAGGGCAGTAGGAGGGTGACTGAAGGCAACACTCAAATTTTGTGCTTGCTACTTGACTTTCTGCCCACCCCGGTACTGCTGCCCCCATCAGTCTAGTTTTTATGGGAGTCATAGGAATCGGACAGCTTAGTACACTGAACTCCACAAGGTGTCAGCCAAGAGTCACCACCCCACCCCAGGGGATAGAAATCTGTAAAGGGACAGAGGCACCATTATTGTTCCAAAAGAAAATGCCCCTTAGATTTTGTTACTAGGAGTCTCATTTTTGAGACTACCTTCTACTGGCTACCTTTGATTTTATAATAGTGAAGAAACATTCTAGGCAATTTACTATAAAATGGTACAATGTTTTCACTCTGTAACTCAATACTAAGTGATAATCTGCCCTCTTGATTGTGAACCTCAGGAATGTTTAGTGCTGGATGGGTGGTTTGGAAGGCAGGGTCTTTTTTTTTTTTTTGAACAACTTTATTGAGGCATATTTTACCTATCATAAAATTCACCCATTTCAAGTGTTAAATTCAGTTATTTTAGTAACTTTCCTGAGTGCCGCTGCCATAACCGTTTTAGAACATTTTTACCCACCCCAGTAAGATCCTTCATTTATAGCACAGTCACCCCTGTTCCCAGCTCTAAGTGACACTGATCTTTGTCTCTATAAATTTGCCTTTTCTGAACGTTATATCAATGGAATCATACAAAATCTGGTCTCTTGCCTCTGGCTTTTTTCACTTAGCATATTGTACGATTTGTCCATGATGTTTAACTTGTGTTGGTAGTTCGTTCCTTTTTATTGCTGCATAGTATTCCATTGATGGATATACCACATTTTGTCAGCAAGGAATCTTTTAAACTTGGACTTTAATCTCCTGTGGTCTAAAGGAACCCTCAGAACATAGGACTCTAGGGGAAGGTGCTCTGCATATCAAAGGAAATGCTTATCAGAACCAGCTTTGTCATCAGAAGCTCCGCATTAAGAGCCTGAACTGCTGCAGAAATTTTTGTAATTTTGCAACTTTTTTTTATAAGGAACTACCTGCTCTCTACAGGAATAGCATCTGATATTAATTTATTCTAACATATGAGCATGTATTTGAGTGGACAAGAAAGTGAACCATCAATAATACTGTATTGGAAATTTTTTTCCTCCTGAACTGGATGGTGGAGTCTCTGAACTTTATAAATACAGTATCTCCCACACAAAGTGGGACCTTTATTAAAGATCATGCTGCCTTCGTTGGACAGATTTTGGGCGAAGGAGGACCGCCAGCAGAGGAAGTGCATAGAAGGGGAGCGCAGCTTGTGGAGCAAGAAGCCCCCAGAGGTCTGGGCACGCCCGCCTTTCTGCTGGTGTGGATGGTGAAGTGCTGATGGTGTCCAGAGGCAGCGTAGCACCTCCAGCTGGCCTGGGTCTTGACTTGTGGACCTTTATCCCTGTTTCACAAGTGTTTAAAAGCTGTTTTTATTGCTTTTTCCCCCTAAATAAACATTACATGGTAGCTATTAATACTACTTTGGGGGAGGGGCAGGGTTTTAAAATTGAAAATAATTTTCATAAAAATGTCAAAAATAGAAAAAAAAAGTTATGTTTTAAGAAATTTGCTATACAAACCAAATGGCAGCTGTTGAAAATCTTAATAAAATGAGAATAAAATGTGTTTGCTGGCAGTGGGACCCTTTTTCCTAAGGTTGGGTCATATTATACAGGTTGTGTATATGTGGTGCGTGTTTGTGAGAGACTTTTTTGTCTCAAGATCAATCATAGTTTTCAGGTGCATAACTTTCCATTCTAAATAATGTTACAAAATAGTATTAAGCATTGGCTTGGATATTACAGACCTGAGTAAATTCCACCTCTACCACTTTCTTTGTGCTTTCGTTCTGGACCTCAGTTTATTTGTAAAGCTTCCTGGGGATAATACAACAATTAGGCTGAATTTAATTTCAAAGTACTTCCTGGCACATAATAGGCACTTAATACATGGTAGCAGTAGTGGCAATAATATGTACAGGTTTGAACAAAGAAGTGGTAACAGGAAGTCCTTGGGTTTGAAAAGAAATTGGTTAGCTGTTATTTTTTCTGTTTCTGGGTAAAACTGACTCTTACCTAAAATACAGGGATTCTATATCTGCCTTTCAACTATTGAACATGTTTGAGAGCCTGCTAGGTCCCAAGCCCTGTCCTAGCTGCCGTTGCTGCTGTGGTAACAAGGTGCTGTCCCTGCTGTTCGGAGGTTAATTATTCCTACTACTCAGTTTACACCTAGCCTGAACCAGTTGTTTTCTGAGGGGCTTTGTCATGCGGTAAAAAAGATCATGGGACCAGACCATAGTCCATGGATGTTGCTTTGAGTGCTGTCATTTCTTTGCCTCCTTCCTTAAACCAGGAGAGCAAAAAAAAAGCTGATTTGCCAATTTATAGCTTTTTGAGGTACTATAGTTATGTATATACAGGGACTGAAATACATCCTTGAAGATGTGAATGGTGTTTTCATTTTTTAAATTTTCATTAAACTTAATGGAAGTATGTAACAGAAAAGCACAGATATTGTAAACATGCAGTTCCATAAATTTTCACCAGCTTTCAGTTGGCACAAGGTGTAAGGGTATACTTTCTTAATCCTTAGAGCAGCCATCACAGCTAGAAGACATTTGATAAATGTTTGTTGGAAGAATGTTCCAGATGAGGCTGTGCTGTCCACAAGATCACACAGGTAGATAAGGCAGTGCTGGCCTCATCCAAGTCCAGTTTTCTTTTTTAAATTTTATTTATTGAATTTAGAGAGATTTGTTGTTCCCCTTATTTATGCCTTCATTGGTTGCTTCTCGTATGTGCCCTGACCGGGGACTGAACCCATAACCTTGGTGTATCCTGACGACGCTCTAACCAACTGAGCTACCCGGCCAGGCCCTCCAGTTCTTGTTCTAAGCTCTCTTGCTTTCTCCCGTATTACAGGCTCAGATGAGATGAATATACGCATCTCCAATGCCTTGGTAGTGTGGAATCCCATTAATTGCTCCTGATATTTGGTTGGGGAAGAGTGTAAGTTTAAAATTGAAAGGGAAAAACTCATCAAAAATCACTTCTGCACTACCACCTGTGTGCCATAGAACTTTACTAATGAGTAAGCTACCTCAGCACCACTCCTGTGGCCAAAGGAAGTAGGAACACATCTGGTGTACTTTAATAACTAAGACTTATTCAACTTACGTGCTGGCACTGAAACAAAATCCTCCACTGTCCAGTTGGAAGAGTAGAGCCTAGGCAGCAGTGAGGAGGGTGAGGCCTCTATTTTAAATTCTTCACCAGTAAAGTTTCAGATTCTAAATCCAAAATACTGCGTGATCCTGATCCTGATATCATGTGAAAAACCTCCAAAGCTCACTGCTCATTAAGTGTTATCAGGACAAAGGGATAGCAAAGGCGCTTCCACTGTCTCTGTTCCCTTTGCTTTTACCAGATGATGTATTGGAGACTTGCTGAGAGCTGGACCCCAGTGACTTGGACCATAGATGCAAAGATGGCTAGCTGTCCCTTCAGAAGGGACTTGGCATGAGTTCTTATTGCTCGAAGCTCCACCTTACTGTTGGGCAAGAGCTGATGGAATGAGAGCTGCTACCATTCTGTGAAGTAAGTGTCATCTGACCTGGGAAACAAATATCCAAGACCCCTTCAAGGATCTAATCAGAACTCAAAAGCTGTAGGGTAGAGCTCCCGTAAGTGCAGATCCTGGACCTCTGCAGCAGAAATTACAAAAGGTGTTTAGAATAAAAGTCCCTATCGCATCCTTAACTTGTTGAATCAGACACCTTATAGAGGGGGAAGAAAACAGAAATCTCAGTTTAAAACAAGCTCTAGAATAACTGATACATGTAAGTTTGAGTACTGATGTCCAGGAAATAATCCATGCCATCTAACAGCTTATACTCTAAACACCTAGAAAGGCAGCCACTGTTAGTCAAGGCTGTCTTTGGCCTTCACTAAGCAGCATGGACAGCAGAACAGGAAGCTTTGGGCTTTTCTTCACCAGTCAAACTGCAGTATCCAGAGGACATGAATCATGTCTGCTCTTCAGCGACGTTCATCTTTCCTGGTGCCACACAACAAATACAGTGTCATGCTGTAACCAGAGCCAGGCTAGTAGTCCCAAAATAGGTAGGCCACCTAGTTGTATCTAGTTGGCCTTGAATCTCAGCCATTCTCATAACCTCTCCAAGAACTCATTCATGCAGAAAAACTGCAAAATGTGCTGGTTACCCATAAGTACCAAATCCAGTGAGGTAAAAATTCTCCCAGATGAGATTTGCACCCTGTCTCCTAAATCCTACTTGGGACTATCAGTAGAGGAGTGTGTGGTATGTCTAAGGTTATTCCCCGTGATGTTTTGCATGGAAAACATTTAATTTCATTGAAAATGCTCTGGCAGAGACTACCCACTTTGACAGAAAACTGAGGTCACAGGTTAACTGGCAGAAGTATGCTAACATGGGGGGAGTGGCACGCGGATCAATTATTCATCCAACTGCAGGGAAGCAGACTCTAATCCACAGGCCGAGCACCTGGGAGTAGGGCTTTAAACCCTAGGCCAAAACCATTCCAGAGTCCTCTGGGCTCCCTGCCGGCAGATGCACTGAATGTACACAGCAAGTGTGCTTCACAACACAATCCAATTGGAGAGTGGGTAAAGTGCATTTATTTTCTTTTATATGTGTTTTTTTTTAATAAAAAAAAAAGGAAAAAAGAGTCCCCTCCCTTCCAGCACCCAATGTCCACTGGGCATGGAGGGGGTGGAGCCAGGGCCAACCCCCTAGGAGAAGGTATAAGAGTAGAAGGCAACGGCGTTGACACTGTAGTCCATGGGGAGGAGATGTCCAATGTGCCGGGCCCCTAGGCTGGCCCCACCCAGAGCAGAGGAGTGATTCAGCTTCATCAGGGTGAAGCTGGAGAAGGAGTTCTGAGCCTGGATCTCTCTGCCCTGCGTCAGCGCCAAAAGGAAACCTGGAGGAAAAGAGCACATGACAGAGATAAGAGGAGACCAGCAGCCTGTGATGGAGACCAGAGTGGAGACAGAGTGAGGAAAGAAGGAATACCCAAGCCCTGAGGTGTGCCTGCAGAGGTGCTAAAGGGGCCCACATGCCAAATCCCCAACAGGTGGTGCACCAGTATGTGGGCCCAGTAATGACGGGGGTACTGGAGCCAGCTGCTCCCAGCACCCAATGCCAGGAGCTTCAAGAAAGCAACAGGTCCTTGAGCTACTTCAGAATGTCTAATTGCCTAATGGAAACCAGAGTTGCCCAAAACAAGGCGGCAAGGGAGAAGGCATATTTCTTTCCTTCAGGCTAGCACAGTGTTAAGACTAGGGATGTCACCATATGCTGGTCTGAAGCTCTGATCTTGTTAGATTTGTCTTTAATTGTTAAAAAGTGGTGCTTATTTAATAAATCCTTTGGAAAAGAGCATCTTTTTAAGAGTTCAAAGACCCTGGATAGGACCTTGTAAAAGGGCTCCCTGGCAGACTGAAGGCTGAGGGCCTTGAGCTGAGGCATCAGTGGCCTGTCCAGGCCTCAGGTTCTAAGTCCTCCCTGAAGCAGGCAGTTTCTCTGGGCCACCTCTTTTCCAGCACCATCCCCTGCCCTTGGCCCCACCCCATACTCACCTTCCTTCAGCAGCTCCCAGCTTTTCCACACAGAGCCCACACACAGGATGGGGAGGCCAAGCTCCCCTGTGAACAAGACCTGGGCAGGGAGCAGAAATGGATAGTGGGGGTGACCAGTCTTTCCAATGCTGTGGTGGGTAGACCAGCGCTCCCTATCCCACTTACACTCCTAGTCAAGAACCAGAGGTGAACTCAAGAAAAGATAAAAAGGAAGGAAAATAAGGAGATCTGTAAAGGCAAGAGGGGAGAGGGGAAAGGAAAACGTGTTGAGCAACAATGGAAGAAGGAGAGGGAAGGGGGCAGAAACATGACTGAAAGGGGAGAGCACATGTACATTAAACCAACTTACTATATATATAGAAAGATTACAGACCAGCCAGAGGGAAGGCACTGGACCAAAGAACTATTTTGTGTTATAGACGTTCTACAAAATTTTTCTCAAACCCAAGTTTTCATTTAAAATTGTATCCAGCTTACAGAGTTTGATGGGACAGTCTCACCCTTCATGGGAAAGGGCCAAACCCCGCCCAGCAGCTCCCATCTCAACTCACTGGGTCAATCTCAGGCAACACTGCCACAACATGTCTGCCCAGCATCTCCCCAGCCTTCCGGAAGATGTAACGGGAAAGGGGGTCTCCCTGCTGGGCACCTGGGGGAGGCAAGAGGGAAGGAGTGGTGAGTACCTAGGGAGCCGCCAATGCTCAGTTCTCTCTCTGGTGCAGGGCAGCAACAGCTAGGTCTAAATCTGGAATGGATGCCCATCTCATGGCATGTGGGTAAGTAAACCTCCAAAGCTGCCACTCCACCCTTTATTCCCCCACCCCCACCTGGCACGTCTACCGTAGGAAGGGTGTCTGGTATGGATGCACTTGAGCAGGGAAGCCCCCCACTAGAGAAGCACACTGGCACCTAGTTCATACTCCGGCTTACACAGAGTTGAGTCTGTCTCGGAAGGTCCCTCAGCTCTGGAGACCCAGGACCTACTTGAGCAGCTGATGGTGCTCCTGTGAGGGCCCCACCTCCAACAGTCTGCTATTGGTCAGCCCCTTCCCAGCTCTGCTCTGAAGGGGCCTCAGTCCCTCCAGTGCCCAGAGGCTACAGGAATCCAAATTAAGGAAGTGTGGACCATACAGCGGAGAAAGAGTAATGTGCAGACAAGTAGGCCCTATGGTTCAGCCTCTCCTGGCACCCAACCAAATATGCCTAACCTCTCCAGGATCCCCTAGTTCTTTGGGAATCATCAGTTTAAAAAAGTTACAGATTCACCCAAAGGACAACTGCTTCATAAATTTCAGAAGCAGACATACAGCCTGCATAAGTCATGATAGCTGCCAAGAAGAGAAACATAGGCACTATAAAACAACTGTCAGTACAACCCGCGTGTCCTTCTGCCTCCACCTCAAGGGCCACCAGTACCAAGACCCATGGTAGCAGAGAACTGAGGTCACTTGGTCAAAGGGAGATTAAACTGGCTTCCAGGCCCCATCTGAACCTTACTCCACTACACCCCTCTTCCCATCTGGGAGGGTCTTTGGGGAACAAAGCCAGATAAAACCTTGCCCCACCTACAGTACCTTCTGCAATTTTCCGGCAAAACCCAGCAAACCTGCATTTATCAAAGTCCCTATACAGGTGTACGAGGATTCCAAGCCGATCTGGCACCTGAGAGGCAGAAAAAGGGTACAAGATAGTCACCAGAAGCAAAGGAAAATTCCCAGTCTTCCCACCCAAGTTGGCCTTCCTCATGTCTCTACTGTTTGAAAAGGTAAAATAATGTTTGTTTTTAAGCTCTAGAGAGTACGAGGATTTGAGATTTCTCAATCAAGAAAAGTTCTTTGTTTTCCCAACATGAACTCCATGGCTCCTTACTGATTAGACTGGACAGAACACATATCTCTGCTCATCAAAGTGTGTTCTGTAGTTCCTTGAGGTGCTCATGAAAAGATTTCTTTGGTCAAAGGAATCTAAAGACTACTGCACCCTGTAACTGTCCCTTAGAGATTCACAATGCACATTAGCAAGTTAAAGGCTCTGAGAAGTCCTGAACCAAGAAATCTATTTGTTTCCCCCAAACTCGTTTGACCACAGAAGGTCCTTCTTCCACCCCAACAAACTTAACACACTGTAATACCTCTGAAGGTCCTGAGCAGACAGTGATTCCCCAGATACAAAACTAAGATGGAAGGGGGGGAGGGGGAGCTAAAATTTGAGCACCTATAGCAATGTTTTAAGCATGTTATACAGACTATCTCATTGACTCTTTGTAATGACCTTATAAAAATGACCAAAGGATAAGAGAGGGAGTGGTAGATATTACTGGTGTTTAGAACCAATCTGCTGAGTCAGGATACCTTAACTCCACTTCCTACAGCAACAGGAAGTGACTTCTCTCCCTGTTCCTCAGCTTGGCCCAGGCCAGTTTCTCTATAATTATCAACCCCTCAGCCTTGAAAATACAGGTCCTGCCTCCCAGCATTTCTAGTCTTCTTCCCTGGCCCCAGCCCCAGCTCGCCTAAGTGGCTGTCACGCAGAGAGATGTCTATCACATAAACATTCTCTTCCTTCTCGTCTTCCCCTTTTACCTCTGGCTCAGATAAAGACAGCTGTTTCCACACCCACTACAAATAAGCATGGCTCAGAAAGAAGGAAAGTCAATCCCCGATACCCTGGGTAGAAGGCTACACCTCTGGAAGAACTCTCCCTGTCCACTTTTAATGGCTGCTGTCTCTGTAAGCACTATTTCCTGATCTCACCCTGCATTTCTCATTCCAGCTTAGAATGTCATCTGCCTTTAACTCCCAGCAGGGTCTAGCTGCCCAAGAATGAAGTCTGGCTAACCACCTGTCCCCAACCTACCCCTCCCTCAGGCCTGATGCCCTCCTGGAATACAATGCCCATAATCCAAATCCTGTCCTCACCTATGACTTTTCTATCATCCAGCTCTGACCCTGACTCACCCCGACTCTCCTTTGGCTCACCCAGTCCCTCTCCTGCATTCACTCCTGCTCAGTCTCCCATTGCCCTATCCCAGGTGTGCATGTTTACAGGGGACAGGGGAAGTACCTGGAAATAGTTGAACATGGCCTGTTTGACATAGCCAATGTCATGAGGAGCTGCCTCTAAGTTGTCGATGGAGTCAAACACTATTTTCACTGCTTGATGTGCAATCCAGTAGGCTGTGGAGAGCAGAGAGGGCTAGAAGATGGGGTAATCTCCCCCGGCTCACAAGGAAGGAAACTCGGGCCTAGACAAGGTTAGTGATTAGCTTGTTTATTACAGCAAATTAGGTGTCCCGATTCCCAGCCTGGGGGCCTCTAATTAAACTGTATCTGACAGATTCAGAGAAGGGAAAGCTGGAGAGGGAAGAAAGAACAGGTGACGATGTGTCACACCAGATGATACCCAAAACTAAAGACAAGGTAAATCAGTTATCCCACAAACCACTGAACCACCGCCATGAACTGGATCCCAAGGGCCCGTATGAAAATGTACACCTGCTGCCTGTAACGAGGTGCTAGCAGGAGAAGCTTCTATAGCCTTTTCCCACTAGTGGAATAGTATAGCATCTCCTGGCCTCTGTGGCCCTAACCTTCATAGTGTCGATTTCTCCCCAGGGCTCCAAAAGTCAACAGAGGTAGTCAACAGCTATTATGCTGAGGCATGAACCTGAATCCTGGGTGCAAATCACTGCTGAAGAGCAAGGCCAGCCACTTGTCCAGCATTTGCATCTCTATGATCCCTCAGTCATTATTATGTACTCAGGACCATCAGATTCAGGAGCTGTCCCCAGAAAGCCCCAAGGGGTCAGCAGGCTGAGGGCAAGAGAGAGAAGATGGAGAGCTGCAGGAAGGGCAGGGCCCAGGACCCTGAGCCAGGCCCAGTCGGCATGATCTCACCTGAGCCCTCATCCCCCATCATGTGGCCCCAGCCACCGCAGCCACTCTCAGAGCCATCGGGGTTGATGAGCCTGCAGTTGGAGCCCGTCCCAGAGATGAGAACGATCCCACCTGGGGAAAGGGCACAGGAGGTTCAGTGTGGCTGACACCCTGCACAGGGCAAGCACACAGCTTTCAACTAAGGAAAGACAGTACAAAAAACCAGCCCCAGGCCAAGGAATCACCACCCAGTCTTGCAGAGAAAATGGAGTTAGCTAGTTTCCTGCTGAAGGTGAGGGGGGCGGCTCTCAGAGAAACTCCAATCACAGACAGCCCTTCTCTGGGGGACAGAGAGGAATATGAGACTGTGTCTCCTTGCTTTATTGAGTACTTACTATGTGCTAGGGATGGTGTTACACCCTATTCACAGTGATACTCAATACCCTAAACCACCTTATCAATACAATTACCCCCATTTAATAGATGAGGAAATTGAAATTCTGAGAGTTCTGTAACTTCTACAAGATAGTACAGCTGGCAAAATAGGAACTGAGACTCAAATGCCAATCTTGTGGTGCCAGTGCTTTTACACTCCTATCAGAGCTCCTCCCACCTTCTGCTCAGCATTTTCTGCTTTCCTCAGCCAGACTCAGGACCCCCTTCCTTTGGGGGGGAGTCTTATGTCTGACTACACTCCTTGCTTCTCAACAAGATACCCTCTTGCCCTCCCTCCTGTCCAGTCCTTGAGCTGGCAGGGACTTAAGCTAATTAAAAGGGGGTGGGGTATGATGGAGGATGCCTTCCAGATATTTTGCAAGACAAGTTCTACCAGCTACATCTAAGCTTTCCCAAGAAAAACAATTCTCAACCTCACCCCTCCCTCCACCTCCTCACCATCAGGTGTAGCTGTGGCGATGGAGCCAGCGGCGTCAGTGGTGATTACGTAGCTTTCGCTCAGGTAAGGAAATCGGTCCCTCAGCTCCTCCATCAGGATCCTCACCGCATCCTCCTGCTCCCCACCGCTCAGGGATAGGCCCTAGGCCACGGGGGAGGTGAGTGAGGGAGCAAGGCCCCAGATCCAACTCCTTTCTCAACCCCTCCCCTCCTTTCTGCCCCCTGCTCTCTACATCTGGGCCCTGCTTATCCAGCCCCAGTCCTCCTTCCACCCTCAGAAGGCTGTGGTTGTAAGAAGAATCTGGTCTGGGAATGGATGGAGAGGGGATTCAACAATGCCAAGTTTGGAGCTAGTGCCCTTAACAGAAAAATTAGGCAGAGGAGCAACTTGAGGAGAGACAAGTTTGGTCTGGAATACATGGGGTTTTGCTGTGCCTGTAGAGCATCTCACTGAGGACATGTCCAGGGAGTAGCCAGAGCAACATCAACTTGGGAGAAAGGCCTGAGCTGGGAGTAATAGCGAACATTTAATGAGTGCTTATGGGTCAGGGTCTCTGCTAACTACTTCAAGATGTGTCATGCCATTTTACTTTCCCAACAACTCTGAGGTAGCTACTGTTATCTGCACTTCTCAAATGAGGAAACTGAGGCTTAGGGAAGGTAAATAACCTGCTTAGGGTCACAAAGATGTTGAGTGACAAATCAAGATCTCAGTGGCTCTCCAAAGCTCTGTGCTCTTCCAATTGTTGTGATTTGTAGACGATAATGGAAGCCACAAGAATAGATGAGGTCATGCGAGTTTCTAGACCAGACACTAAGCCCCCAAGGTCTTTCCCTCTGCAGTCAAGATCATCAAACTCATCTAGTTCAAACTCGCCTTCTCAGTGTTGCTGTGACTTAATTCCCAGGCTCTACCCCAGACTCACCAAGCTTCGAAGCGGTACCAGAGGATCAACCCCTGCTTTCCGTTTGGCCCTGCTCACCATCTCGTTGATCCTCTCCACACACTTGTCTGTCCCGATCAGCTAGCCCCAATCAAGGGAAGGAGGAGTTACAAAGGCCTGCACAACCTGTGCTGCCCCGACAGGCTGCTACATTAGCCCCCCACCACCACTTTAGCAGGAGCTACAGAGAATAAAGCCACAGCCAAGCCCACTGGTCCCCTCAGTGTGGACTTTACCCAGTGGTTTGTGCTGAGCCCATCTGCTTCTGCCAGGATCTGCCCATCTTCTGAGAGTAAAAGGACCTTGGACTGTGTTCCTCCCCTACAGAACACAAGGGGGCACTCAGTATTGCTCAGAAAAACCCGAAGATACAGCTAAGCTGGCGCAGTCCTTGTCAGAACCCAGTATGATGGAGACTGCTTCAGTAAACCCAGTCACCATCCCCAAACCCACCTCTGTGGTTTGGTGTTTGCTGTGCTCTTGGACTGTACAAAGGCCCTGCTCAGCTTCCCCTGGGGAGATCTTACTTATCATGCAAGGCCCTACTTATACAGCAGCTAGTCCCTGAAACCTCTGATGTGTGGCTCACCCACATAGCTCCATTAGTTAAGCCAAGTCAGTGCCCCCCATAACTTTTAAGGATTCCTCTGTATTGAGAGTATTTAGTTGTTTTTCTGTCAGCCTCTCATTAGACACAAGCTCCAGGTCATTTACTATCCTCATGCTTAGCACAGGCAATGCTCAGTAAATGTTGACTAAAGAGAACGGCATATCTCTGCTTCTCACAAAAGCTAAAGGCTGCCTTTCAAGATCCAGCTCCAGCTGCCAAGGTCTTCAAGCCACCCAAGTGAGAAACACTGACCAGATGGCAGGGAGAGTTTATACCCACTTAAGCAACTAAATGGTGAAATGCTTATTACTGGGGGAAATGGTAGTTTGGAGGGAGGTCTGTGGTGGTGTGATGTATATTTCTTTACTGATCAGTACTTTTAGGAATATCAGAAGCTGACACTGAAGACCTGCTGACCAAACTCAAAAATGACAAGAAGTTTCAAGGGAGAATTAATGCATGAGATTCAACACAGAAAAGAATCTCTTGACAAACTGGGGGAAAAGAAAAAAAAAAAAAAGGCCATATCTTATACATATAACAGGGATAAATGCAAACTCCTGTACTTAGTCGTTGTTTTTAAAAAGGGCAATAGTTACAGGATGGGGGAGATCAACTTTAACAATGCATGTGAAAAAAAGACGTTGGGGTCCGTGAGTCAGCAGATGTGGCTGCCATGGAAGTAATCCAATCTCAGATTCAGAAGTGCCCTGGCTGAGACCACAGCCCTTTCTATTATGCTCTGAGTTGACGCACCCAGATTCACAGAAATGTTGTCACTGGCAGGGGACCTGGAGATCATCTCCTTCATCTCTCTTCTCCTTTATACACATGTGGTAACTGAAGCCTATACTGGGCAAAAGTCTTGCCCATATTCGTACCGAGGGGAAGAGCTATTACAAAAGTCCAGTAGACAAGCTTCTAAGCAGGAAAAATGCAAGAACAGCAGAGTTCTATCTAGGGTGAGGAGCCCGGAGTGCCAAGAATGAAGGAGTTTCAGGGATCAGGACGGCTAGCCCTCTGGCTCGCGGCTGTTCCAGCTCCCAGATACCGTCCGGCAAAGATCTTGGCCCCGTTTTCACTACGTTCTTCCTCCCCACCCCCCACCCCAGCAACTTCACACCTGACACCTGTTGAGCAAAACTCTCTATGGGATCGGGAATTGGGACAGGGAGCATCTCCAGCAGGTGACAGAGGAGTGGGTCGTTCTTGGGAGAAAGGGGCGTGGCTCCGCCGTGAAACACAAAGGACCCCCGCCCCCCCGGGGTGTGGCCGTGGCACACGCAGAGCCCCGCTCCGCAAGGCCCCGCAGCTCAAAAGCCCAAAGTGGTCGGACTCGGAGGTGGGATGTCATCAGCCTGCCCGCGGTTCCCTTCCGCCCCGCCCTCGGACGGGGGAGGCCCAAGCTCCTCCCAGGACGCCCCTCCGGGACTCCCTCCACCGGGCCGCACTCACCCCTCTACACCCCCGTAGAGCGCGGCCATGCCGACGTTACCGCTGCGGCCGGTTCCGCGGTCTGCTC